TACTTTGATTGGGATCGGAAATATTCTGCTTAGAATTTTTGGAAGAAATATCGGTTTGACATTATTTTATAATGTCAACACTAGTGTTAGAATGTAATAAAGTATCATGTCTAGTATTACAAGCAGACATGTTTTCTTAGAATGGCACGGACTATTACGTGTATGACCCAGACAATTAGAACAGAGATTAAATCTTTTAATTGCCGACATTAATCTTTCATTAATGTTTAATTGTAGAAATTGTTAGCATTTGAAAATGTTATGATTTTTGTTGCATGAATAACATTTAAGGGATTTGACAGTGTTGGTTACAAAAGAATGAGAAGTGTTGTGTTTCGTATCTCTTCCGCGAAAATCATAAACATAACTTTGACCTTTTTGGACTTTATTTATGAGTTGTAATAATTCTTTATATAAAGGATATTCGCCTTGAGAATAATTTTCAATTTTCCTCTGTAATTTTGTATCTAATTTTGATAGGGAGATCGATGTTAGGAAAAAATCATATACGTCTGGAACATTTAATTGATTTAATGCTTGTACAGCAGTCTCAAATTTTTCAATAAAGTTATGCAACTGCAACGTGTTTACAGTTTTGAAGGACATTAACTGTTTTAACACTTTCGGGACGGCACTTGATTTCATTGTGTATGTTATGCAATTTGTTTGATAAAAATTTGTGGTCATTGAAGGACATACATTTATAATATTAATTTATTTTTGATCATTTTATAAAGAATGGTGACGTTTAAAACAATTTTCAAAATGCATAGCTGGTTTATTTTGACATATTTTACTATAAAATGTTGTTCGCCGTCTTCCTCCTGGTGCTTTTCTGTCAGAACAGACAATACAATCCGTTTTCTTTTAGAATTTAGAATATGCCACTGATTAGTCAGTATATTTGGTCATTTTTTTGCTACCATAATGGTTTATTATTTCTATTATATGTTATAAAATATAAAGTAAAATAATCTATTGGATGTTTTATATTGCTTGGTATTTGTAGTCGGGGTGCTTGTTGATGTATGTCAAACTCGATTATTGAAGGAGAATCGACACATTCGCTAATGTCTTTCCGCTCTTCATTTAATTTGTCGAACTTCTTCTTCTTTTTGTTGGTTGGATAATATCATCATCACATTCATCACTATCATCCGTGCGAATAGTAATTTCGTAAAATTTGTCTGTATGAATGTCTATTTGAAACTCATCTTCACTACTGCTTAATTCACAAAATTCACCAGTCGTTTTGCCATATTTAAAAACGCTCGGTCGTTTTAAATATTAAAAAAAGACAATATAGCAAAGAAAAAGACTAAAAATACTACTAAAATAACTTAAAATTATTTTCAAAATACAATACTGTTTATCACTGCTATATGTGATTTATTCAACTTTTCGATGCAAACTGAGTCATTGTTTATAAAATAGCCTGTGACTCACAGAGTATGTTTGTCCACTGAGGTGGACAGCCGTCCCCAAAGTGTTAAATAGTTAATACCCAGATAACGATTATTTTGAAATTTGTTTATTAGTGCATCCCGTAAAATTGAATAATTATTAGAAGTAGAAAGGTATTTACCTTGATGTCCGGTAAATGCAATTATATATACTTGTAGAAACTCTCAATCTTAATTGAGATCCAGCTCGAAGGGCCAAAATGTGGTGTGGCCTTGATTAAAATAACCAGACCCCCGGAATCACTGGTTATTTTTGAATAGTATTTGAAAACTAAAACGTTCTTCTTCTCTGATAATAACAAACTAAAAATGACCTCACTTTAACTAATAAAAGGAAACTCAATGAAACTTTTAAAATCGACTGACTCGGAAGGAAACTCGAAACTGAACCAAAGAAGGAAAGCAAACTGAAATCGTACTGATAACGCACTGAAATCTACTGATAAGGCACTGAAAGCGAATTGAACACGGAACTGGAAGCGAACTGAAAACGTACTAGACCCGATCTGACCTCACATCGGTCAAAGATCTTTTTTGAAGGAACAAGACCGGTAGTCTGGATTGGAATGGAATAATTCGGTTGACATATTGCAAACCCGAGATGGCGACTATATTATTATCGACACATGAAAATGGCTTTATAATAAAGATCAATATTTTTATTATGTTTTAAATACATATATTTGAAAATCATTAGGAAAATTAGAGTGTTATGTCATATAGTAATATTCTTTCTATAATTTCTTTCGTATTATGAATATATGTTCAATAGAAGATAATCAATATTTTCTGGTGACAAAGTTTGTTTCAATTAATTTAATTTCATTTGATAATATCTTAGCTACTTTTCCGAGAAAATATTTCTTAATTGAGAAATAAATTAAACGAAATAATTCTCATTTAGAAACAATTATGCTAATTAGTGATGAAATATTCATTCTAGTCTGTCTTAAATTCAATCTGTGGGATTTGTATAAAAGCAAAGGAATCTAAGAGGTTTTCACTTAATTAATTAAGTTAAACATTGACTCTTTTCTTCGGATATTTATGCAACTAGACTTTTCAAATTTATACTGAGTACAGGAATAAGAAGGCTTAAAATTACAACTCTTGTTATTCTTATGAGAACTCGTTCAAATAAAAAACTTTACCGGAGATATATTTTACAAAAATCTTCACGTTTTTATAATTAATCGCCATACAAATTGTCATTTAAAACATATGATTGATTATAATTGGTGTGGTCTTGATTAAAATAATCAGACCCCCGGAATCGTTGATTATTTTTGAATGGACTGTATTTGAAAACTAAAACGTTCTTCTTCTCAGATAATAACACACTAAAAATGACCTCACTTTAAATAATATAAAAAACTCAACAAAACTTCGAAACTGAAGCAAAGACGTCAGGAAAACTGCATCAGAAGAGATCAATTCGAAGCGAACTGAATCTAACTGAAAGCGAACTGAAATCGTACTGATAACGCACTGGAAATGAACTGAAAACGTACTGGACTGAACCCGAACTGGATAGCGAATCAAACTAAATAGAACCCAAACTGAATTAAACCCGAGCAGAATAGACCCAAACAGGATAGAACCCGAAGCATAGGTCAAAGTTTTTTTTGGAAGGAAAGAGACAGGTAGTCTCGATTAGAATGGAATAATTCGGTTGACATATTGCAAACCCGAGATGGTGACTACATTATTATCGACACATGTAAATATTCATTGCGGCGCCACCAATAATAAAAATTAAACACTAAGTTTGTAATATTATTTTATGAAATATTATTGTGACACAATATTATAAATATTCAAAATAAAAAAATACATAAAATATAATGCCATTTGTAATAAATTAAAAATTAAATTTGTGATATACGTAGTTTTGTATATTTGTTATCTCTCGAGTGGTATTAGCTTGAAGTCTTCAATTAGTCTAATGTCTTAATTAGATTAAAACATACAAAATTAGCGATAAATTTTGTACGTGCAATAACTTAAAGTGCAAGGTTATTTTCCGTATGCGATTCACTTTATCAAGCATTAGTGTTAGGTGGAAGAATGAAAAAGGAGCGCACTTTGCAATCAAATCAAATGATTCCCCGCGGGACCGATTTGTCGTCGTCCGGTGCGAGACAGCGCGTGCAGCCTCAACCGGAACTCGGAACTTAGACCTGGTGGTACATATTAGAACACGAAACGTTGCCTTGAAAACAAATATATTCCATTTTTTTTTTTTTGAAAATATTGTGAAATACTATCCCAATTCCACATAAAATTATTTGCATTTTCTACAGTCATATTTAACAACGGTAAGAATCTTCAGCTGTTGAGCTGAAACTTCTGTATACGTCGTATTTTTAGATGGTAACCGACGGTTGATTCATCCTTATATGAGGATCAAGCAGGCTAGTCATGACAGAAAAAAAAAAAACAATAGGACTTTCCATTTATATTTTTTATATCAGTAATATTTTATAATGAATAAAATTTATATATTTTTATACGATGGGAGTTTATACTTTCATATCCATTACTACAACACCCACATTGGTGACTCACGACGATGGAGATGAAGATAAAGAAGGAGTTTTATTTTTCGAGGATTTAAGAAATATAGTTTTTGACGCAGCACCATAATCACTGGTCTTCAGAGACGACTTATAAGGTACGTCCAGTCCCCGGATCATCATAGTTAACGCACTTACTACCTGAACCGGACTTTCGTGGTTACCCATTTGGTATACCCAGACCTCAGTGTTTATTGCTGACAAAAAACTAAACTTTTCATTGGAATGCAGTTCAACCTCTCCTTGTCCGTTAACTCAACAAATCGTCTTTTGATGCTACCTCCCATTATCGGTGACAACGACGAGTCAAAACAAAATAATGACATAAATTATTTATTGGACTCCACAATTCTGGACTATTATGTTAAAGAAACCAATGATCCTGATTTGGATAAAGAGCCAACTTCTTTCTCTGATTAGAACCCATCTGATACGAATGCAACGCCTGCAGAAATGGAAACTGTACCCATAAATAACGCATTCCAAACATTAAGTAATTCTGATATAACTAATACCAATTAGATCGAAGCTGAATCTTGAAAGTTTCACATAATTTTTATTCAGAATCTTATGCAGAGTATGGAGATGATGGAAGGTCGAATTACCTACCATACGGTGGATCTGCCGACGAAACATTGGAATTACTAATTGACTAGTAACAAAATACAGCTATTATCTGCTTTCCTACCATATTTTTATAACGTGTTTCCCTGTATTTTTTTTTTTAAATGTGAGGTCAACACTGGGCAGGGAGAGAAAAAACAATATGACTTGTCATTTATATTTTTCATATCAGTAATATTTTATAATGAATAAAATTTATATATTTTTATACGATGGGAGTTTATACTTTCATATCCATTACTACAACTCCCACACTTATTTGATTATTTTATTTTTAAAATTTATAATAAAACTGATATATTATTATTTGCATAAATTTTCTTTTATCGTAAAGCAGGAATTATGCTGAGTTCGCATAGCAGTCCGCCGGTTTCCACTCCGTTAGAGCCTTGCAGAGTGGCGCCTTATGTGAACGTACCTTCTTCTTTGAGAGCAAATAGTACTTCATCAGCACCTACGGCATTTGATAGACTAAACGCTTCAGGACCCAGAGTTTTTCCACCGCCTTTTACGGCTTTTGATCCGGCTTTGATAACTGCTGCACATCAGGTAAGAGAAAATTAAATAAACATCGTGAGTATTGTATAGCAACCATTATAGTAAGGCAGCCACTGGTATAACAACCAATCAAATATGACCTGGTATAACAACCAATCAAATATGTCCATGATATTGAAGACAGTCATAAAACCCGGATTCTGCTTTATCAATTATAGTGTAAATATACAAAAAAATAATTATAATATCCAACAGCGGGCCGGAGGTTGCTCATCTTTGGTATATTCCTATTCTGTTTGACGCTTCAATACGAACTGAGCCCTTATGTATACAAACTGTCGAGTGCCTCAGAGCCAGAAGAGACAGCCGAGTAGGGAATGCAATACCGATGGAAAATTTCAATACCGGTTTTTCGGTAATTTTTCATTTTAAAACCGGAATACCGGTAAATTACCGGTATTTTTTTTTATCTTAAACAAACGTAACCAGTTACTAGTACAAATATAAAAAATGTATATACAACTACAACTATATTCAACTAAACAATAAAACAATAAGTTTTTTAAATAATAATTTAAAAAAAGTATATCCAATTTAATTAATTCATTATCACTATCGAGTATATTGAGTACTTTTCGCCAAAAACAAACTTATGAGTAAGAAAGACCAAAAATTCATAAAAGATCATACTACATTATTATAATAAACTGTAATAAACTTTTTAAAAAAAAAATTTTTCTACACTAATTTAAGACCGGATACTTTGTCGAGATAAATAATAAGTTACTATAATTGTTGAGTATTGTTACTTAAAACAATGTGTGAATGCGAAACTTCAAAACGTTTTCGAAAAATAATATTTTATAATTGTAATAAGAAGCAAAAATATTTAGTAATTATCATAATTATTATGTATAAAATTAGAAAAAAATAAAGATTACGTATGTTATAAAATATTTTGGCGCAAATATCACTTAAAAAACCGCTACATTTTTACAAAAGATGAAACATACATCATTATCTATCAGTCCAATTCTATTTACTGTAACACGATATGAAGCCCTGAGTAAAGCAATAAATATTCCGTTTAATGACGTGTTGAGATAATATTTGACATTTGTTTATCTTTTAGAATCACTTGAAGATATAGCTGTTTATGCGATTTTGGAATTTAAAGATAAATTTGTTCCGAGAAATTTAAACTTTAGTGTATTATGTATCAAATAGCGCTTATGTAAAAATACCGAAAATACCGGTATTTTTGGGATAAATATAGGTAAAAATACCGCCGAAAATTCGGGCGGTTTACCGGTAATTCGGTATACCGGTATACCGGTATTGCATTACCTTCAGCCGAGTGATATGCTAAGTCCCCAAAACTGGAAAGTTGGGTTATTTATTACCATAATTATATCACAATATATATTAGAACGCATTGCCCAAATTAAGTTTTAGCTTTACCGTTCAGTATTAATATATACAAAACAAATGCTAAACTCAATTGAATATTTATTCTATTTTTATTTAATTTATTCGTTAATACATTTATTTATTGATGGACTGATACAATTATTAATGATAATTATTTTTGGTATTTTGGTGAGTTTCCAATTATTTGAGATAATTGTACGAAGTAAGCCATGGTAAATTATTATATTTGTGAGTTCTCAATTTTAAAATCGGATTTATTTTCAAGTTAAAACAAACACAAAAAAATAAGATATGAATCATAGATAAACAAGTATAAATGATATAAATGCAAGACATTTTTTATTTAATATGGTCTATTAATTCAAATACTGATTAATTTTACTTTGACCATGGAGAGCCTTTTGGCTGAAGTAATTGTAAGTTTTAGTTTTGCCATCACATTTTTTAATTGTTACATAAGTATCAATAAGTTTCTTTTACCTCAGTATGCAGCGGCAGCAGCCGCAATGTCAGCAGCAGCTGCTGCGGCCGGAAGTACCAGAGGAACCTCCACAGTTGCACCTCCAGGAGCTACGGGTACGGCGGCGGTGTCAGTCTTCTGTCCGCCGCAATATCCTCTCGGTCTCGCCGCTTTGGCCGCAGCTCACAGCAAGAACTCCAGTATCGCAGATCTGAGGTTAAAAGCGAGGCGCCATGCGGAAGCGTTGGCGTTGACGGCTAGGGAACATGCAACGTAAATGATAGTATATGGTTGATATCGGTAAGATTAATGTTTTTATAATAGTCCAGTCATTTGGTGTAAAAAAAGGCTGTTCCCGGTACAGTAATCCGGAAATTCTGAAAACTGGTAATGTTATAGATTTCGAGGTGCTCTTTACGAAAATCAACTTTGCCACCTCAAATTTGAACGGCAAGTTGCTGCCATATTGAAAAAATGGCGTCGAAAAACAGCTTTTTTAAAATATATCCTTTCTGGCTGATTCTTCGATAAAAGTATCTATGTACGAATTAAACTAGATAAAATTTCCTACAATTCCTTAGAAAACCGTTTATTTGTAAAATTGATAGTTTGAGAGTACGGCCGCCTCAAAGTCTTTGCTGCTCTCGCCGTAGTATCAAATTTCTCAATATATGACAGCACTTCGAACTTGACCATATTCTCTCTAATAATTAATATTTTCAATGTTAAATTAAGCGAATAAGATCAAGAAATAAAAAAATTCAAATATTTTTCTGTTTTTTAGCAGATTTTTTAACACTTCAATGGCATAGTAGCTATAAGTAAGTAGCTTGAAGTGTTAAAAAATCAGCAAAAAACAGAAAAATATTTGAATTATTTTATTTCTAGATCTTATTCGCTTAATTTAACATTGAAAATATTTATTTATTAGAAGAAATGTGGTCAAGTTCAAAGTGCTGTCATATATGGAGAGATTTGATACTACGGCGAGAGCAGCAAAGACTTTGAGGCGGCCGTACTCTCAAATTATCAATTTTACAAAAAAACGGTTTTCTAAAGAATTGTAGGAAATTTTCTCTAGTTTAATTCGTACATAAATACTTTTATCGTAGAATGAGCCAGAAAGGATATATTTTAAAAAAGCTGTTTTTTGACGCCATTTTTTCAATATGGCAGCGACTTGCCGTTCAAATTTGAGGTGGCAAAGTTGATTTTTGTAAAGAGACCTCGAAATCTATAAGATTACCAGTTTTCAGAATTCCCGGAGTACTGTACCGGCAAAACGACCAAATGACTGGACTATAACTGATTCAATCTGAAATATATCATATAATATATGAATTTATATTTCAGATCCGTAATCCAAAGAAATTGAAATTCAAAACCAAAAAAATATTTCTTTATCTTGGAGTTTGCACTATACTTATCATTTCCGTGAAAAAGATAAATAAAATTCTATGTGTGTTACTTTATCTCTAATTTTTTATATATTTAACAAGTAAATTGTGATATAAAATGTAAAAATTTGCTCTAGCCAGGTATTGAGAAATTCAATTTATTTTTGAATGATTGATTTTTCTTTAACTGTAAACTTAAGGGGGTATTCTACTGTAGAATTTTGAAAAAATCGAAATTTTTTTTTTCATATTTTCAAAGTTTAGTTATTAAAAAAATATGTCATTAAAAGGATTTTTCAAAATTACTATTATTTCCTGAGTTATATCCATTTTAGTGACGTGGCCTCGGTTCGGGTCCGACCGAGAATCAAAACTTTGAACGCGTTTTTCTCGGAACTACTTTTTTCGAGCTGGCGGTAAGGATATCGCAAGTTCTGATGAACCGATTTACTTCAAATTTGGAGAAGATCTTCTCTATACATCGCTTTATCGCATGGACCTTGCATAAAACTATAACTTTTCATTTAGTATTTTTAAAAAATTCGAAATTGTTAAAAAAAACATGAAAAAAAATTTTTTTTTCAAACTGCCGCCATTCAACAATTTTTTTTTAACTTATCCAAGGTTCATACGATAGCGGCATCTATAATAATTAAAAATCCATCTATTTTTTATGTTTTGGATCACCAGGAGGGTTGGAATCATGCACGCCAGGACACCCTCATTTTTTTTGAGCGCCAACTTTCACTGCTCATAACTTTGTGAATTCTAATTTTTTTTAATAATTTTTTTTATGTAATAATAAAATATCAATAAACAAATGATAAAAAAATCGATAGTAAAAATATTATTTGTTTCCTTTATACAGCGCTTCAAAGTCCGGGCGAAATTCATGCCTCTACAGTAGAATACCCCCTTAAATAATGTTCTAATACTCGAACTATGCAAGCCAAAATATTTAACAACATGTGATATATTTAAAATTAACTTAGCAGCCCTTTGTATTACAATGAATAGGACAAATTTGCCTATTATTATAACATCAACTATACAGGTGCACAAAATGTTGTCCTTATTGGATATGTGGCATATGCTTTCTAATGTAGTTTTTACCGCTTAACTACACTCTAAAGTTATAATCGGGGGTCAAATGGCAAAAAAAAAATAAAACGACAAATTTTTCGATCTAGTAATTCTTTTCCACCATAATTAAAATCTTAATTTCTGGCCATTTTTGCCTTAAATGACTATAGAGTTTCAATTAAATGATCCGTTGAGTTTTTTTGTATAATTCAGCAGTAATCTGCAAACATACTTGCAATTGAATATGTGATATGCTTGAAAATTACTGCTGCAATCTACCAAAAAACTTATTAAATCATTTAATTGAACGACATAAATTATAAGATTTTAATTATCATATACAAGAATGTTACTTAATATACAATTTACTTTAATATACAAGTTTTTTTTTAATTTAATCATGTTTTTCCCATTTACCATTATTGTGTATAGATTCATTCAACAAGGAAACAAATGCCATACCCAATACAAACAACTTTTTCTGTGGACCTGTGGTATTAATAGTAAATAAATATATATTAGATTTACATAGTGATGTATATATCATATAGTCTCTATTTGTAATACTGTTTGGTGACAAAGTGATAATTATTAACTTTATGTTAAAAACGTAATGATCTATGTTAAATTATTGGCAATTGATTAATATTGTGTATTAAAGCCGCCTTTTGGTTTTTCAAATTTGGTGTATATAATATTGTCCTAATATGTAACATAGAGATAAAAAAGCCTAACTACTGAGAACAACTCGTTCGTGTAATGGCAATAAAATATTTATTAAACTTGTTCAAAAGTCGAAAACCAATTAAAATATACAGTTTATTAAATTCAAAATACATAATTATTTTATCGGAAACTTTTAAATATTCGATGAAAAAGCTCTCTTCAAGTTTTTTAGAACAAATATAATTTTTATATCCCTCTATATTGTATAAAAATTTATAGCACTTACAATCAAAAGAAATAAAATAGCAGAAGCTAAATCTATTAATATTTTTATATAGTTGAAAATCAATATTTGACCTTCCAGTTTACTATAATTCTCCAACCAGGATCAACAGTAATATAATTATTACTGGATGTGACAGGCAATTTAGAAAACCGATAAGTCCAGGAACAGTAATTGATTTTGATGGACATCAGACGTAACGAATAACTTTCTTGAGATATACTGTAGTTATTTATATGTCAGATATGATATCTTATTTTGATGAGAATGAAAAATTGAATCGGAATTGTGGATAGTAAATAAATAATGCCATGATTTCTCCTAATTTTGAGAAAGTAACGGGAGAAATACATGCTTCGGTTTATAGTAGAATTATAAGGTAAGTATTATTTTTCAAAATCCATGAACAATTAAAAATTGACTTGTTTAGAGAAATTACTACAGTTTCATCTGTATGTAAAATATTACAAAAAAATTGAAAGAGTATTAGGTATTTTTTTTTACTAACGCAAAGTGACAAAAATATGTAATATTAAGTAATACTTATAAACTATGTTCGTCAAAATAATAAATATAAATATTTAATTAAACTAATATTACTACAACTTTATTAAAATATATTTTACATTTATCTTGGGATAGAAAAAAATACGTACACTCAAAAGTGATATAGGTACGTATTATTTAAAAATGTGCCTAAATTCTTTGTTTGCATTTTTCATACATTTTTCTTTTATTAAAATATTTTAATACAAAATATTAAAATATATAATATATGGCAGTACTATAAATAGTGCACTTGTTATTTGCATTTGCATTTGGGAATTAAATAATAGGAACAATGAAACGTATTCTATTTCCAACTTTCATAGTAAATAGTAGTGATGTGCCGACTCGAAAAATTCCCGATTCGAATGATTCGAATCAGAAAAAAACCTGATTCGAATCATGATTCGAATCAACTCGAATCAAGTATATATATGGACAAAAAAAAAATCATGGATGTATTAATTTAGTAAAAGTGATCCAAATTTATAATCAAAATTGTCAGTTTAACCAATGTAACCGACAAAGTAGAAATTGTAAACATAAATCACTATCAAAAAGTATATTCTGAAAATTATTAAAAAATGATATAATTTTGAGGACGGCTAAAACATATCTTCAAATTAATTTGCATCACTAAAGCATATAAAATAATATTTGGAATCATGGGTCGATTGTTTATTTTACTATGTAATCAGTAAAGGATCGCATCTAAACTGAGAGCTGAAAGTTAATTTCATTAATGTGAATTTGCCATTACTTACATAATCAGAAGTTAACATATTATTTACTGACTTTCTGGTGTTTAGTAATTGTTTCAAAAGAGAATTATATTGAAAGATTCCCAAAACTCGTTTCATAATTTCGAGTGGTTTATTCTGATAACATTTAAAATCTAAAACACTTAATTATTATCAAAATTGGGTATCGATATTTCACGAATAAAATCGCTCTCAGCGCTCCGTAAAATAAATAAACACGCAAGAACGACGACGCATTGTATCGCCCATACGGTTAACTCATATCGCTCGAACGGCTTGAAGTCGGGATGATTCGAATCAGAATTGAAGTCGGAACAACTCATATCGCTGCTTGATTCGGTTTGTGTCATGAAGTCGAAACAACTCATATCGCCGCTTGATTCGAGTTGGCTCATATGAAGTCGGAACAACTCATATCGCCGCTTGATTCGGTTTGAGTAATATGAAGTCGGATGATATAGTTAGTCGATGAATGCGGTTAAAGTCACACAAAGACGATTGGAGTTGGCTGATACATTTAAGCATATTAAAGTCGGGTGGCTCGCATGATTTAATTCATTATTTATTTTTTATATTTATGATATTTATTTTTTATATTATTATAATATTGAATTAAATTAAAACATTTTTTTATATTTATTTTATGAAAAATTTTATATTTATGAAAAATTTGTGTTAATACATATTTTATCACAGTAAATATTTCGCGGCTTGATGCGAGTTGATTCGAATCAAGTAAAATCTGATTCGAATCAAGTCGTTAAAGGCTTGATTCGAATGATTCGAATCACTTGATTCGACTTGGCACATCACTAGTAAATAGCACCATTTAAAAATACATATTAAGTTACATGAATTTGAAATATACACAATTTTGCTCATATTTATTAAAATATAACATAAATGTTTTAAATGTTTACAAACATTCAATCAATTTTTGAAAAATTTCAATTTATATTTGAATAACAATATTGATAGTTACAACATAAACATGCGATTTTTTTAAAATTTGTAATTATTTCATATTTGCGCATTTTTAATTCTGATATTTCTCTTTTTCCTTCATTTTGAACATTCTTAGTCAAAGTAACTTGCACAACATATATTTTCAATAGATTTATATATATTTATTCAATTTTTTTTGGTATCTGAATGCTTTATATGTTTAGAGTTTCCTAGACGATCGTATCCTTTAAGTTCCTTTGTGGAATTTTCTGCGATAAATTTAACTAGATCAATTGTATTTATACCAGCCTACAAAATAAGTAGTTTCATAAATTGATTAGTTTTATTGCGATTAATGATTATTTACCTTATATCGTATATGGTTTTCTTTGTAAAGTTTGGGTAACCAATACAAAGTCGGATAAAAATAAACTTTAAATTTTTTAGGAATATCAATACTGGTAGCGTCGATTTTCACAATATCTACGTCCTCATTTTTCATCTGAAAAATTCACAAATAAAATTAACTTCTTACACAATATTTGGTTTAAAATTGTTGCTATCTTTATCAAAATATTTGGAAAACCTGAATTTAGTTCTTGGACAGAAATATTCTATATAAATACCATTTTTCCAACTTCTTCGTAAATTGGTGCCAACATCTTGCAACGTCTGCACCAGAAAGCATAAAATACGACCAAAGTGTCCTTATGATTCTTATAAACAAGTTCGTCAAAATTATTTGCTTCTGCTTCTTTTACTGAACCCGAATTCAATTCTGGTATACGTTGGAATTTAAAGACTGGTTTAGATTTTTTAATCTTTCTTGATCTGTGATAAAAATAATATCAAAAATAGTTTTAACGAAACTATTCAACAGAATCTCATTCAGATTAATTTTAAAAAGTCTGATAACTCAAGTGAAACTTACATCGACCTGCAATCAGATTTTTCAAATAGATCACAATTATTCAAAAGTTGTCCTCCAAACTTTGAAATGTTGAAAGAATTATTCTTTGAGCTTGGTGCTAAATAATTCATCATTGAACAGTGATGTCTGACCTAAATAGAAAAAATATTGAGATATTTGCAACTAATCAAATCCGGGTTATAAAAGGATCGCCCTTTTTATATAAATGATCAATAAACATAAATTTCAATGGATAATACTTTAAACGAAAGAGTTAAAAAAAAATATGATAGAAGCAATAAATTTATTTTAATTTTTACCGGATTATTTTTATTAAACCTGGTACAAGTTTTTATAAATGCATTATGGTTAGATTTTGGGTTAAGTGAGATTGAAAATAATTTTATTAAGTTTTTTGTGCCATTATTGTGAATTGTCGAACTAACAAACCGACGATATAAAATATCCATTATTAAATAAGTGAGAAATTTGATTTAAAACTGTAAATTTATTGAATTCTGAATAATGGGCTTTAGTTTTTAATTTTTTTTACGTGAATTTTGCATTGTCAATCTCATCAATTTTGTCGGGCAATGATGCAAAAACAAAAAAAAAATGACATATTTTTATTATTTTTAATTTTTATTATAAATAATGTTTACTGGTTAAGTTTTCTAAATTTGGATTATATTATACAATATGGACCTTATATTAGACGCTTTAGTTGGGCAAAAAGTTAAGCACGTGAAGCAATTAATGAAAACATATATCTGCTATCAAAATGACTATACTAAAAAATTTAAAGAGGCCAGCAATAGGAAAACTGAGGAATTTGCGGTTCGTAAAGCGATAAAGTTGAAATCAGTATTATAAAAATGTTTAAGTAATAAAGTTTGTATGAAAATCTAAATTTACAGAAGGCGTATAATTTATTAGTATCCTGGAATTATAATACGAAAGGATCGAAATGCCCATTTGCATTACCAAAATTCACAACGCCATTGTACCACAATTACGAAGATAATAATCCTAATTCGAGAATTAAATTAAAGTAAGTAAAACTTTATTTTGTGTTTTGGTTATAACTTATGCATATATAGAAGTAAAACTTTATTTTACATTATAAGTATGTGTATTCAACTTAAAATTGTAAAGTTCAAATTGAACGAGTCTCATTATTACCTAATTTTATAGCTTTGTCATTTTTTCTTTAGAATATATCTTTTCCTATATTCTTTTTCAGGGAAAATCTTAAAAAAAACGTAAACAATGATGCAGCGGATTTTCTAAAATCTCAGCCTATTCCACAGAATAATGATGGTCCTGTAAAAGTGGCCGTCGCAAACAATTTTGAAGAAATTGTATACAAAAATGGAAGAGATACTTTATTACAATTTTATGCACCTTGGTGCATGCATTGTAAATCATTGGCTCCGGTCTATGAAGAATTAGCAATAAAGGTGGGTGCAACATCAATTTACCTGCTAGGTTAATGATCTATAAATTTATTTAAAGATCCATAAGATCTTTCAATTTTTAAAACTTCATTTTACCGATCTAATTTATAATTAATAATATTGTAAATAGAAGATGAATAATTAATACATGTTATATGCTTTAAGATGAAGGATGAAGACGTAGAAATAGTAAAAATTGATGCGACTAATAATGATATTCCTAAAACTTACGAAGTGCATTTTTATCCCTCTTTATATTGGTTACCTAAAAATATGAAACATGAACCAATCAAATATAAGGTAAACTAAACTGAAATATACTACAAAATATTTAACAATTATAGATTATATATTAAGTTTACTATAGGGAGGACGAAAATTGGAAGATTTCATCACCTATATAGCCAAAAATTCTACAAATGAACTGAATGGATACGATCGCTCAGGACAACCAAAAAATAAAAAGACATAATAAAATATTGACAAAGTTGATTCATACTATTTTAAACTCTAAAATAGGACGAATTTCAATGAATAAGAAATATATTAGATTTTTTTAAAAATATGTTGCAATAAAATATATATAAACAATTGAAAGTAGTATAATTTTTACAATAATGAACTGGCGAATATTTAGAAAATGTGTAATATCTTGTCAGGAGTAGTGAACTATAAATATATATTAAATGTTAAAGATGAACAACACAACACTCAGATTTTTAACACAAACTTTATTTAATAATTACAGACGTTTCGAGGCTTCATCTTCAGTGTAATTTCAAAACAGTTAATTATATACTAACACATTATTTAATATTTTATTTCAATTACATTTAATTTTTGAAAAATAAAAAGCACCAACTATCTATTATAAAACTCGAAACAATACTAAACATGTGAATATGTTCAGAAATATTTGAAACAATATTTTACTTGATGTTACTGCCCGAATCAAAATAACTCATCAGAATATATATAAACACCAAATTCACATACTTCGATATATATATATATATATATATATATATATATAAATATATATATATATATATATGTATATATATATATATACACTTTGCATTTCAACAAGTGTATAATCACACAAATTGCCTTATACTATCTAAACAAGATACGAAAAAACTTTGTTCGTACGAAAGATGGAGAATAAAATTACGAATAAAATGATATTTTAAATGGTTAAGTGTGTTCATATAATTTTTTCTAGATTTTCCGATTTTCCTCAAATTTTACGATAGCAACTCGGTTTTTATAGTTTTTCTTCGCAAAAAAGCAACGAGAAATTTTTTGAACCGAATCAAAACGGCGGCTTAAAATGTCAAGTGAGTGACCAAAGTTTGAATCGTAATTTTAACATTACAATCGTATATGCAATGATAATAGAACTACGAATTGAAATCATTTTCGTATGAAATTTCATATTATTAACTTCCCGTAGGGTAAGTTATTGTAATGGGCCGAAAATCGGAATTGAAAATTTTTACATTTCTCGACGTTTTGAAGGTTTCTGAACGTTTTGGCATACCTCAGAGAAAATGGATGTGTGTGTGTGTGTGTGTGTATGTGTGTGTGTGTGTATGTATGTATGGATACAAATTTCCAGTCACGTTTTAGGGCGCACGGATCAACCGATTTGAATGGTTCAAAAAACATTCGATTCCTATTGATAGGGAAAAGAGCTGATTAGTTTTTGGCAAAGGCAGGTCCAGCCGTTTCGGAGATACGGAGCAAAGAGTGCAGAAAATAGAAATCGAATTTTTTGAGAGAACGGAGTATCCGATTTGAATCATCTAAAAAACATTCAATTAGTAATGATTGGAAGAAGTGTTTATTAGTTTTTGGCAAAGGCAGGCCCAGCCATTTTGAAGATACGGAGCTAAATATGTAAAAAATGGCAGTTTTTGAGAGAACTAAGCGTCCGATTTAAATGATTCAAAGAACTTTATGCTTGTCTTAACAAAATAATTGATTTTAGAATTTTTTTTTTTAGTTTTTTTTTTTTTTTTTTTTAGTTTTTTGTATATAGAAAATATTTCAGATTTTATTTTTAATTCTGACTATTAGTTCTAATATACTTTATAAATAATTTCAACTCTGCAATTCAGTTTCAATTCAATGTTACAATATTTATAATAATCTATTTGAAAACATTCAGTATTCCTCGAACATTTCGTTACGGTACGGGAAGTTCCAGCAATTTGCCTTAAGGCACGATGCCATAATTGCCTCAAGACAGAATTCCACTTACAGCTAGTTATTATTATTATTATTTATTTGCAACTTTTTTGTAAAGTAATGATGAGCCATCTATTGGCAGTTTCGCAAACCAAGACGGCGACCGTTGGTAACATAGATAAGGAAATAGATAGAAAACTTGGGGGATATTTCAGCCAACGGAATAATTGCACATTACGACGCTAGATGCGCTAGTGTTCGTAGCAGGTTGCAGAACTTTTTGCAAAAGGTTTAAATACCAGATATTTTGGTTCATGTACATGCCAATATATATATATATATATATATATATATATATATATATATATATATATATTTTTGCTAATTTTAACAATCAGATTACAATACAATCTATAAGTTAAAAGTCATGGTATTGAAAATCAAAATCAAGAAAAAAAAGTTGAACTAAAGGAATTAAAGAAAAGAAATAGAATAAATAAATGAATAAATAAAAATTAAAATAATACATGCCAATATATGAATTTATACCCATCTATATCTTACTTCTAACGTAACAAGCCTAATATATAAATAGAAACAAATCAGATAAAGATATGTGTGCAATTTCTTAATTATATGTATGATACACATGTTTAAACGTAAAGTATTTGATATATAAATTATATCACAAAAACATAATAAGGCTCTAAGGACTTCGTTTAATAAATAGTTTCTTTCTGAAAACATTTTACATACATTACGATCTTGCTACTACTATCATTACTATATCCCACATGAAAATATTCAATAAAATAGAAGTGACTCTGCATCACTCGAATAATTTGAACAAAATACTGATAGCATAATATTGTAAATCACCAAGGTATACTTTGAATGTTATGTGTACATTTTGCAATTTTAGAGTAGAACGAGCTGCTATGGAAGTTTGAAGTTAAAAAAAATTATTCGTATTTTATTTAATTTTATTAAATAGTGACCTACTGGTCAAGGTGGTCGAACGAGCGAGGAGCAACCGGGAGGAAGAAGGTGAGCTGGTGCAACTTCCGCTAGAAGCCAAGGGAATTCTTTCGAGAGTCACGGAGAGCGCTGAAAAACCCAAAAAAAAAAAAACGATCAGAAAAGGCTACAGCAATGACCAAGAGGAACTACAAGCACATAACAAAGAAACTATAAATCTTCAGCCTTTTCAGTTCAAGTTGAACTTTTCAGTTGAAGTTGAACTTTGAAACATTTTTATGAGGCATTATGCTACCTCAAGAGCATCCGAAGCTCGAAACAAGACAATTCCATGAAGACACGTTTAAAAAAATTATTAAAAAAATCGTGAAACGTATTTTTATAAAAGTCACTTACGAATAAAATTTCAAAAAAAGCGTTGGTTTCCAGATGTGCTATAACAAATTACTCGTGTTTCATAATTGAAGAGAAATTTTGAATTTAAAATTCAATTTAAAAGTTGTAATTTAAAAGCTACATATCGAATGAAAAAAATTAATCAAATCAAGTTTTTTAAAAAGATTAAATAACATAATTAAGACTTCTGAAAAGAATCGAGACAAGATTCATTAATAATAATTAATCGATTTAAGAGATTTGAATAATAGTAATATATGCAAGTTTAACCAAAAATTCATCTATTTTATTGTCAAAATTTTAAGATTTTAAAGCTTGATATCTCGCGTACGTTAAAAAATGCGTCAATAAAAGTATAATTCAAATTGAATGAACATATATTTCTAATTACAGTTACATATTTTTAGCATGCATAAATAATGAATGTGAACAATTTATATTTACCGGTCTTCATTTATGTCATATAAATAATTGTCGGGTCATATTGCGTACAATCGTATAAAAACATAGCTAATTGCAGTCATATGATTCAGTTACATTAAGACAGTTTGTTAACGAGCAATCTTAATATTGCAAATATTTCAAGAAAAGTAGTATTTCAAGAACGCTTGTTCCTAATGTGTACAAGAATCTCATTAATAAAAAAGATTACCTTTTGAACTTTTCAGTGGTCCATTGCCAGGTTTATTAACTTCTATAAAAGACAAGAATCTCATTTGCTTTATGTTCTGCCTATATTTTTCTCTCACGAGCGCTTTCTTTTCAGTTGATGAATGGTGTTTGACGCGGGGACAATAGGGCAATTTTTAAAACGCCATCCTGTAAATTGCTCTGCAGAATAGATGATATTCATTTATGGTCGAGCATTCATTTGATGTGCACAAATATCTATATTATCCTTGGTAGAATAATATATTATATATATATATATATATATATATATATATATATATATATGATTTAGTAGTTAATTTTGATGTTGAAATATATGAGTGAGTTCTTGAGGGCGATACATCAAACAAAGAAATATATATATATATATATATATATATATATATATATATATATATATTCAATAATTAGAAGAATTTAAAAAAAATGTCTTCATTGTAGTAGCATACTTTCGAGTCTTGATTTGATTCATTTTCAATGCATACAAATAATAACACATCTTCATAAAAAAGTTCAGATTCGTATCTGAAGTCAAAATTTGGGATCCAATGGCAAGAATGAAAAAAAAATGACGAAAGCTCCGATCTAGTACTTCTCATCCAATATAATTAAAATTTAATAATTCCTGTGGTTTTCTGGTCCTTTAGTGACTATTTACTCCCCATTTGCCTCTGATTAATCTGCAAACATACTTGCAATTGAATATTTGAAAATATGTTTTCAAATTATTGCTGTAATCTATAAAAAAAACTTGATAGATTATTTAGCTAAGTAAACACTGAATGAATTGATTCAAATGATTACCATGGCTGAAACAAATGGAATGGTTTGATCAGAAAAGTACCTTTATAAATCTATTCATTTACTTTATTTTTTTGAAAAAAAAACTATTGTTTTTTCAGTGCATTAAATCAGCTGATTAAATTATATTTCGAAGATTTTTTGATCGACGTTGTAATATATCATTAAATTATATAACCACCAACGCGTAATTTAACTTTTTTGAAATTGCGCAGCTTTAAAAACAAAATATTAGGAAGTTGTGTTTAGTTTTGATGATACACTTAGTTTATTTTTCTCTTCTTTCTAAACATAAGATTGATAATTTGTTTTACAAGATGTATTGCAATGATTGTGATGACTGCTATATATTGGGGAAAGATCCTAAGAAATAAATTTATTATTTATAATTCTATTCTATTCGCTCGAATATGTACTAGTAATTTAGTAGCT